CTGTATGTTCTTCTCGAAAGTTAAATATTTAGTTTCTAACAGAATTTACGGTTGGTCAGAGGTTATTTTAAAACTGGATTCTCATCTCTGTGTTTGTAATTGTACCCAAAAGTATGGTAAGGTGTACTTGTTCTTTAAATATTCAGTTTGCATGGAGTTTCAAGTCCCCTGAGACGAAATTATCACCTTCAGACACTAAAGAGATCTCTGATGATCTTTTGATATCCCACAGTCACTGCAAAGAACATATGAGACTTCAGGCTAGTTCCATGTGATGGAATGTTGTATATTATGGAAATCTTTGTATTTTACCTTGATGGGTTTTTGCCTGTGCCTTGTCACGGGGAAGAGGCACTGAAAGCAAGGGACTGGATAATGACAGGATCGCTTACATTCTCCTTTCAGTCTGAATTGGACTAGTGGACTGTCTGCCTACTCAAAAACCTCTTGATTGCCACTATAAAATAATGGTCCCTGGACTTCCAGAGGAGATGTGGTGTTCTGATTAGAAAAAGCAATGATGAGTGTCAACAAAGGTAAATCTTCCTTTCTTTTTCTGAGTTGTTCTGGACTCTAGATTGAAAACATGTTGCTGCACAAAACAATTAAACATTTTTTTTCAAGCATTGGCAGTATCTGCAACATCATTGACACTTTTTATTTTTGTGCCTATTACCTTTGAAAAAGCAATCAGAATACACTCGGATGTCTATCTATGACTGCAGAGATTAGGTGGGAGCCTTAAGATATTTAGAGCGGCGCTCCAGTGTCTGTTCTTCAGAGAATGAGTTTTCCTTCCCCTTACAGAAAACAAAATTAATTTGCCCTGGGTTACATATGAATCATTGACATTACTGAAGCATTTCATCTAAATATCTTTTTGAGCCTTAAAATCACTCATGCATTCTACAGCTTATATATTATGCATGTAATGTATAAAGCTCCATTGCTGTATGAGAAAGGGGTAGTGGGAGAATTGGGAAGACTTCACAGGTATTGCTTCACAGGTATGAAAACAGGACAACAGCTATAGTACTTCCTGGCTTCTCCTCTACTGCTGCTCTCCTGCAGCATTGGAAAAGAAAGGTTTTGTTAACAAGGACAGGACAGGTGCTTTTAGGTTTGCTTTATCTCAGCTGCTTTATCAAACAGCTTGTTGTTTTTTTTATGAATTAAAAAACTTCTTTGACTTTGGAGGAAAATTTCAATACAGTAAACATATTCTAAACTTTGGCTCTTCTAGACAAAATTGATTTAACATGTTGCAAATATTACAGCCTAGCCTCCTCATTTGCTGCAGTACTGTTGCCAGTAGCACTTAGTGCGCAGCTTAACTGAAGTGCTCTGTGCATTGCAAGAATCAAAACACACCATTTCTCATATTCCTGATCTGCCTGGCATACTGAGAGTTAAGAGGGGGGAAAAAAGGAATCTTGTCTTTATTGTGTTTTTGATTGCTACCAGGGCTTTGGAGCAGTCAGCACACAATTGATGAATGTGTCGATACAGAGAAAATTAGATTTTGTCTTTTTCTGGGGAAAACGGGAAAAAAGAAAGTCAGACTGATTCATGGCTTTGTTACCCTTTTGCCACGCATTTTTTTTTACCCCTTCCCAAAAGAACAGTCATTCTTGGGCTTTTTTGATTAAGGTCCCAGGGCCTGGGGGTAGAAGATGAAGCTGTTTTGTAACCGTAGTTCAGAACAGAGATCATAAGTTGATTTCTAGCCTTGTGTAGATCACTCCTTAATTGAAATAAAAAAACTGGGCACATTAACCATTCAATCCAAACCCAATATTTCTTTTCATAAAATATTGAAAGAATTATAATGAAGATAGCTTTTAGCTTTATATCTTTACCTTGACTTCCAACAAAATACTGTGATGCCACGTGGAGTGACCCATAATTGGGGCAGTGGTTCTAGGTGCGCCCAGAGCACAAACACATACAGGCACATGGGCATATCCCTACCCGGCATAACAATACACATGCATCATTCAGCCATAATGTCAGTTGTATATTCGAAGTAGGATTTTTTAAAACTTAATTCAATGAGCCTAATTTTGCTCATTGCTGAATTGCATTTAAAACAAAGATTAAGTGCTGTGAAAACTTTTGTATAAAGTTGTGGATGCCCACATTTGACGCTATATATCTGTAGTAGTCCACAGAGAAAATGCACTTGCTTGTGTAGAAATGAAAAGTGTGTCAATGTTATATATATATAATATATAGTGCCATACAGTACATAAATGTCAAGTCAACTTTGGAAACCCAGCCTGTTCAGTCATAAAACAAAATAAAATTATTTAATTTGATGACGTGTTGAGGTCACCTTAGACTGAATGACACTTTCAAGAGGTTTTGCTTGAGGCGATAAGAATGCCATTACCTATAATCCTCACAGGGATGTGAATCAAACTGCATATCATGATATGTCAGGATCTGGGCATGAACCTCTGTCAAATTAATGTGTAAATACCACAACTTTTCCACCTCAACTTTTCAAGCTCTTTAGGAATTGAATCATGCCATCATCTTGTCTGTCAATTAAATTAGTAAACATTTTTCTTTGTATAATTGTGTGTACTGTAAATATGAATTAAAAAGGCAAGTGTCTGAATACACAACAGTATAGCACCTCTATTTTAACAAGAGCTTTGACTGTTAACAGTACTTCGAAAATATGATGCAATTAATCTTCACCTGCATGATATTTTTTCTCATCCTATTCAATGTATTATGTTTTATTATTACTGTTATTTTTGTGCTGAAAGTATTCATATATACTATTGGATGAATAATTTCTGTGTCCATGAAAAAAGTACAATTGCTCCATACATTTCTTAAGGTGTAAAGCTACCTGGCTTAGCAGAATTGAGAAAATCTATGCTGTGAGTGTAAAAAACCCTCGTATTATATCTGGAAATAAAATGCAGCATTCTCTTTTTCCACACAACTCAACCCTTTGTATGGACAATCTCTTTTTCTCATCCTTGTACTCTTAACTGGCTAAGGTCCGCACTACAGAAATAGAAAGACACAAGAAAATGATTGAATTTCAAGAGAGTGATTTCTGAGAATGGTTGATATGCAGTGCACGGCACTCTAGATAGGTTTACAGAGTAGTTTGTGAATGGCTTCCTCTGAGGTGGAATCCCATGAGCCTGAATGGAGAAAGCTTGCTAGGCTAACTACCTAGGTTAGATTTAGGACCAGAGAGCCTGAGAACAAGGGCAGGGGAATTGCTAAGAGGATTTAGTCTTCCATGTGAGAGAAAAAAAAATTAAGCATCAGAGGAGCCTTCATGCTGGCTGACTTGGGTCTGATTTGTCAGTGGGGATGAAGATGTCAGTTTCCAAAGGATTAGCAAGGACTGGATGTGCACATCGGCCAAATTATCTGCAGAACTACTATGGTGAGAATTTGCTAGCTAGTTAGTCATTCATTCAAGAGAGGGTGTTCATCTGCATTTTTGTTAAGAATTTGCTGATTTCTCTAAGCAAAATATTATTTTATATATGGATTCTTAGAATAATTTTGATGATAACAGTATTTATTTGGATGGTGGGTGCACTGTTTATGCAATTATAATTATCTGATTCTTGTTCATTTGTATTTTCATTATCTTATGTTTGGTTCTGTTTGTGAGGATTGGCTTGTGCCATAGCTGAGGAAAAACTGGAATATGCTCTTCGAAGTTACACTGATGTTAAGGTTTTCAGAATCAGCTCTGGAACAGTTTTTTACGGAATCCTTTGTACGTTGACACCATCATTTCACGTTACGTCCAATACAATGACCAGGAATAGCAGCACAAAGACATACAGAGCTTATGTCACAGGACATGCAATGAAGCTGGAGAAGAGAAATGCCAGAAGTTGCTAAAAGCTTCTCCGTTAGGCCCATACTCCGACTGATTCTTTCAAATTCATTTTGTTAAATATGTGTCAGGCAGTTTTGGTGTGAAGATTCAGTGTTTTTGTAAGCTTCAGAAGAGGCCTTGTTCTTACTAAAGAAACGCAAGTCAGATTGTCAGTCTGAAGTTAAATATCAGATCGTTGTGTTTTGTTTCTCTTCGCATCTTTAATAATGATTCTAATTAACTAATGTTTTTAAAAAGACATACAGAACATACAGAATGTGCATATGCATCGGAAGCACTCAAATACCAACAAGGAGATGTCTATATACATTCTACAGTCATCTCCTTCTCTAAAATAAAATGAAATATGAAATATTAAACAAGATTATTTTTGTTCCACACTGCCTTCCATCACTGCATCTAGCCTTGCCACATTGGTAGAAAGGTGAAATTGATGAATCACCATCATTAGAACACTCGACTCGGTAGCGTCTTCCCCCTAGCCTATTTGTTGAATATTCAACGATTGCTAATGATGTCTCTTCCCAGTTCAAAGTGATCAGAGCTTTCTCTTGTGGGATTAAGTCAACAGACTTGGAAAGCCCCAGCTACTGCGATAGAACTGGAGGGCTGCTTCGTTCTTCAGTCTTAACATTGATCTAAGGCACATGATGGGTTCCTCTCAAGCTCTGCTGCAACCAGGTGTGCAATCAGGTGGCAACATATTGTGTCTTGTAGGTAGTGGCAACCATCTGCCCGTCATTAACAAATAAAAAAGAGGGTTAAAAATCGACTTCTGGGTGGAGCCCTTGCATCATTGGCCACTGTGGATCAGTCTGTGAGCAATACGAGTTGGTGGTGAATTGCAAAAGCAGGCTACGAGATTTCTATTAATGAAAGAAAATTACCCTGTCATAAGTGTTTTGTACTCCACTGCAACCTGTGAGGTAATTTCACTTTTCCAAGCAGTTCATGTTCTGTTTTAAATGCTTGCCATACATAGTGATCAGGGAGCTGAACAAAACATGATTGAGAGATTAAATGTTTTCACAGTTAGGTACAGACCTTGATATTTACAGTACAAGTATTCTTTTAAAAGCACACTTGCAAAACCTAAAACAAGTGGATACACTGGTAGGTAAAATCTGTATATCTTTTAATCGATAAATTGCTCTTTCTGTGATTGAGTACATTTGTGTCATGAGCGTGTATTTAGTGTTCACTCAAGTACCTTGCTAGTAGTTTTACTTATAAGTATTGTAAAATGCCACACATTCAAGTTTATAATGTAAACTTAAAACACATTTAAAACAGTCTTTATACTTGAAAGCAAATAAACACCATGCTGTATATTCATGTCTCACATCTATTCATCTGTTTCTGTTTTTAACACAATTTTGTGTGTTTTGGATCAAAATAGCTTCATGTTGCTTTGATTTATGTCATGTAACACAGAAGTTGTAACTTACAGAAAGGTACATTTTGTTTTGTTTGATTGTTAGTTTTTTAATACAAGGTGTTTCAAACATGTTTGATATTGTTACAGTTTTATAGCATAATCCAAGGTCACGACATAGCAAAATACAGGCCTGCTTTGACTGACACTGTGGGGTAAATTCACAGACCTAGCTACTTTAAAGTGTCATTCTGGACTTTGTTACATGAAATAAGATAAATTACTGTATAGCACTTGTTCTATAAAATGTGAAGCTATTTAATTATAACTCCTGGTGGATTTCATAATCCAGTTTCATAATCTTGAAATGTTGACAGGCATTTCATTGTTTAAGATTTATAATGTTGTTGATTAGTAACAGGATAATAATCCAGGTGAAATGATAAGATCCGTATTAAGCTAGTGACCAATATTTGTCATATGATGGTCTTTTGGTGATAATGAAATGCTATATTTTTTTTATTGTCTTGTAGTGCACTTATGCGATATCTGCTAAACCAAGCTCACCATTTAATAACAGTTTATTGAGCTGATAAGAAATTGCTTTAGTCAATATAGGCAATTCAAATGGTTTTATCTTCAAAAATACTAAATTCAATAATAAATAAAGAAAAACAGAATAAGCATCTCAAGACAGACTTTTATGGGTTTACCCTTTCTCTGGCATTTTTAGCAGCACTTTTGGAAAATATATATTCTGCTTTTTATGAAATTATTAATATAATTTATAAAATGTGTCACGAAGAATTGAAGATTGGAGGTTCCACCTGAACAAAGGTCCTATGAAAGTGGAGAATAACTGGTAATTTATAATCAGTGGAATAACATTATTACATCTGTAGATTCCTACAGTAATGAGTGTTATGTATTATTAGCCCACATTCCTCTGTAGTGTACCTCATGTGCCTTTGTTTTCAGCACATCTTGTGTATATACCTCATTAATTACATTCTGGAATTTATCATTGTAGAGGAACATGTTTTCCCTCTTTAATGAAACAGCATAAGTAACATATACAATAACGTGTAATATTGGTTTATTAAAAAAATATTCACTATTGCAAATTGAGTGCTTTTGACATCGCATTGCACAGATGATATGTTGTTAATGGCTTGAAGACTTAATGGGCCTGATTGGCATGGTTCAGAAAATACTTACAGCGCTGTTTCTGTAGATACGACATGGACATGTTTGTTGCATGTAATGAAGACTGCAAAATTAAGATTTCCTGTTTTCAAAATGTTAGAACTTTTTGCCTTTTAAAAAAATATTTGAAATATAAAATCAAAACATCTGCAAGGACATAACTTTTATTCACCTCTATTATAGTTAGTTATATTATTTCCTCTTAGGTATATATGAATATGAATCCTAGTGATGCCCCGTGAGATTTTATTTGATTTTTTTTGCTTCTTTCAAAACAAAGTGCTTTAGTTTCTGAAGTTTAGCTTTAATCACAATAACACATTCAATTAAAATAGATGCATCTGCATGGTCATTTTTTATAACCCTTTTGCTCTTTAGAAGCCAGGTAATTTGCTCAGAACAAGACCTAGTTTCCAAGTGATTCCTGCTCCTGCCTTTGAGCTGGAAGAGTAATGTGTTACCCAGTGCTATTGAAGCAGTGTATCCTTCTGCTACAATGGTTTTTCAGAGGGCCATGAATTATTTATTTATATGCATAGTCTCCTTGTAGAATATCTGCAGGCAGGTTATCTTAAATCTTAATGCCTCATTGCCCCTCCAGTTCTCATGTGAGAGAAACTGCATAACCAAACACTACGTGTACCAGTGAACAATCTTCAGTCCTACGGCACAGGTTCTTATTAAACGTCCTCTTACCCCTGACATCCATGAGCCTTCATTCTCCAGGCCACCTTCCCATCCACTAGTGTTGGAATAAAAATAAGATCTCTTTTAATCACAGCCAAGGATGGGAGCAATTTATCTCTTTTTCTGCTAGTTTTTGTGTTTATTGTACGCAAGTATTTTGTATATGCTATTCTTTGTATTGCTTGTCTACGTACCGGTGTCCTTAATGGCCATGGACAAAGAAAACAATTGACACTGATGACGATTCCTCCCCCCCGCAGACGAAGGGGGTGGGAGTTCTTAGGGACATTCCTTGCTATTAGATGATGGCTACTAGAGTCTACAGTTCTCATTTAAGCATGCCGTTCGGGTCCCACTTAAAGTAGGGGGCAGAAGGTAAATATTTTATACGAAACAAACATAATTTATTGCTCATCACTAATGCATTAGCAAACGACTCTAACATGGCAGTTTGGGAGGTCTTTTTGCAATGTTCACATTGTGCAGTCAAGCTTTCCCAAAACCTAGAAACACAGATGAGTTTTTTTTATTCATCTTTTATTGCTGATGTTTTTAATGGCCAAGACCTTTAAGCATTGGCCTGTTAAACACGGACATGATTGCTGTATGCTCAATTAATGTTTTATGGATATTTGTAATGCATTAGTAATGAGTAATAAACATTTTTTACTATGTGAAAATGTTTACTAGTTTATTATTAGGCACCTAATCTTACAAATAATGCCAAGTACCTTTCTTTGCTTTCAACAGTACATTAGCAATACTGTGAGTTGTATCCTAACAAGCCCTTACTGAATGTCCATGCAGGAGAGTCCATTTTTTTTCCACCAGAGGTGGTTTACATATCCCCTATGATATCTTCAATTGGTCATAAATACGTTATAATCTTCTGTGAGATATATATATAATACTTTCTACAAACGTAAAACATCTGATGTATTTAGATGATTGTTAATCCATGCATTTCATGCTGCGCATAATAGTTTCCTTCACGTTTCCATGTGTCTGCAGGCTTCACCTTCCTTGCTTACATCGTGATTTTGGCAACAAATTATTTAAAAAAACCTGCCGCTGCACAAGGTAAGGCAGTACTACCAGGCAACAGCCAGTAGAACTCCTGATTCCTCTTCGAGTCCCTGTTTATTTTATCTGTTCATTTTTGCCGTTATCTAGAGTCATTGTCCATGGAAGTCAATAGCTAAGAGAAGTCATATGCATTTTCGGTAGGTTTATCTTGTGAAATAAAGTCATTAAACCTTGTCCCTATTTCATCCCACTCCTCAGGACCTGGTTGGCCGCGATGAGCATGACGCTGATTATGAACGCAATGGCAAAGGCACAGATCAAGCTCTTCCGCACACACGTCTGCTTGATCTGCTGCGTTGGGCTGGCTGTGAGAGAGAGGAAAGGAGAGAGAGCGAGAGTAGTCAGAAAGACTCAGTGTGGCCCCTTTCTAAAAAAAAACCTGAATGGGTCTTAACGTAAAAATCTTTACAAATAAGAAGCAATTAAACCGAAAGAATGAATCTCCTTACTGTCGATATCCACAGGGCACTCTTCCGGGTTTTCTATGTGGTTTTCCTCTGTCATGATGATATTTTCAATGTCTTTCATGGACAGGTGATCACAGAAGGTGTCATAAAGCAGTCTCTTCAACTCTTCCACTGTTAGCTTTTGCATATCACACTGGAACAAAGAAATGAAGAGTGATATAGTTACTACTGCAGGTGATGTAAAATACTCTGCAACACAACCTTTTCAAAAGGATTGTGGCATCCCCTTTTGTTAGCAGAGCCCTGTTCTTTTGAATTGACATTTTCTTTCTACATACTGTAATTGAACGAAGTTTCTTACTCAGAATACAGAGCACATACTATGCTATTCATTAAATTATGAATGAAATTGTTCAAGTAAAAAATTGATGTGTAAATCTTTATGGAATTCTTATAAAATAATTAGGCGATAATATCTGAAATTACATAATTAAACCTGATTTCCTAACACTTTGATGATGGTGTTGCTAGTCCTGCTGTTCCTGTTGTACAAATTAGTACTTAACAGCATATAATCACTAAATAATATAATAATGCCTCCGGAACATTTCTCTTCAGTCTAATTTCTCATTAAAAAATAAGAAGAGAAAGGGAAAATGAATGAAGGTATTGATGATGATTACCTTCCAGAATACTGTGTCAAAGTCTGTCCCATGGAACTTATCTGGCATTCCTGCTGTGGATATCTTGGGTCCCAGCAGAGTGACAAACTCTTCAAAATCAACCTGACCATCTCCTGTTCAAAAGGATGAGTAAGGGTATATATTTATAATCTAGCAAAGGTATGTAGGATAAGATAAATGCATGTGTTTATGCTGTTAAATTAATAATTCACAGTGTATTCAATGAACTGATACAAAATGTGTGTTTTTAAAATTTTGAGTATTTCTTTTTCAGAATCACCATTTCTGTTTTTTCAGAATTACCATTTTAGCCAGCCGTGTATATTCCACAGCTTGGCTGTCAGATATGATCTACACACAGGAGAGAATGAGGAAGTATAGGGCAGGCTCCTCTATGTCTCTCCAGCCTTCAGGAATTTGTCAGCTCTGTACTGAAAGTTCAGTGCATGACTTCTGGCCAAATAACCCCACCTTACTCTTGATGGCACTCAGGCAATTGTGAGCCATCACTTGTTTAATCCCGGTCACAGTCAGCTAGTAACACAATCTAGGCTCGAACCTATCATCACAGAGCTCATCGGTTCACTGGTCAGCTCTTTTACCAGAGCTACTTGGGATGTCTACCTTGGTATTACTCCATTCTCCGAACCATGGTAGGCTAAAGGGTTTGGTATCCTCCCTGCTCTTCCCACTGCTTAAGGCTGATTCCTTATTCCTTCAGAACACATACGTTTCTTCTTAAATTTATTGACTTAATTGTCCTTTAGCCAGTGAGGTATTTAAGTCCCCCTTAAAGCCCTCAAGGCTGTGGCTCTCTAGGTCACAGACTGTGGACTTACAGTAACTGATTCATGTCTTACCATCCATATCCAGTCTCTGGATGATTACTTCTAGCTCCACCTCATTTGGCATGTATCCAAGAGATCTCATGGCCATGCCTAGCTCTTGCTTCGAGATGAATCCATTCCCATCTCGGTCAAACACTTTAAATGCCTCCCGAATCTCTGTGGAAAAGAACTACATTTAAAGATACAGGAGGGTAATCCATACACGTGTCAAAATTCATTAAGTCATTATGCTGCACTAAACACAGTCGTAAAACCAGAAAGCATTTTGTAACCGATTAATGTGTTTCCTGTTGGGACAGAGACCATTTTCATGTCCTGATTACTAACTCCTGGACACAAATGGCTGTCACCTTTAATCACCTTTAATTTAAGTCACAAAGATAGGGACCTGCTTCACACTTCTTCTTAGATTACTTTGTAATGTCTAAAAATAAAATCCCTCTTTAACTCCCTGTTTAGATTAAGCAATGAGACCAGTGATATTGCATTTTTGCCATTCAGAGCTTTATATTTCAATATTTTTACATGAATGATTGGATTAGATCAACATGCACTGTAAATTATCATTCAGTCATCTATAAAAGTTCTACTTGTCCAACCATAGAGCCAAATTCTTAATTATTGAATATGTAGACTATTATAACTGATTAAGGTTATAAATGTTTCATCTCACACTCTTCTTCAGTATTGTATAGATATATGCTAGTCTTTGCCATTAAATTCATTTAGAAGTAAAATAAATGAATTGTGAACTGAAGGTAAGATAAATATTAGGTTCTGTTCATGAAGGCCATTGTTATTTTTTGCTTTAATTATCTAAGGCTAAACCTAAACAGCGGTGTCCTTATAGGCAAGTAAATCTGCCCTAATTCTGTCTTCTATAAAGAGTATGTTACAGAGTGTCAATATTCTCATCATCCAACAGAAAAAAACAATGAAATTAACATGAAGGAGTAGCAAACTCCTCCTTAGGAATAAAAAGGTGTGTCACCACTTACAAATGCTGGATTATAGGTGTTGAAAGACTGCTTTAGGGACCCTGAACTTGACAAAGCCAGAAAGTCCAAATGTATGACTACACAAAAACTATTTTTGGAACCCCAGAGATCACAGCTAATTTCTGCTAATAGAACATTTCTATGTATATGCATGCTGTAAAATATTTACTGCACATTTATAGGATTTCTGGACAGGTTTTGCACAAACCAACATATCTACTTTGTTATTAGGCTTCCATGAATTATCAGAAGCAAAACAATTTCATTTATAGTAAATGGAACAATGGGAGCTTATTATCTGGCTTTTGGAAATATAAATGAAGCTGTTTTATAATGTTTTAAAATAACAATAACTAATTTTACAGTGAATAAAAATCACTTAATTTTGGCAGAGCTAAAGCCTATCTTTTAATCTTTCATTGCTACCACTCATCAAATGAACCAATCACTCATGTCAAAATTATAACTCAGTTGAACACTAGTGTTTCTAATAGATAGGAAGGAATATTCTGTCTCATAAAGGGACAAAACATGTACAGTAGCTGTATGTGGTTTGAAAACTTTAATTTTAGTACATCTTGAGTGACCCTGCAAAAGGACAGCTGATGCATGACTGCTAGGAAGGACTTCATGTTTTATTTTACCTGTCATTTGTTTATTTACTCTGTTGAATAACTTAAAGTTTAGATTTAGAAATTGGTCGGCACTACAAATTGCGATGCAGTCAATCAGCTGAAAAAGATTCTGCATAATGCCAGCGTGATTAATATTGCAATCCCAGCAGATTTGGCATTATTGCCTTCATTACTTTATTCATCATCTCTCAAATTGCTTAGTCGTTTTTATTATTTACAATAATATATTCTCGCCATGATTTGCTGTTATCATAATAAAAAGGTGTTGGAGTGGTAAAGTAAAAGTAATTCAGTCATGAAAGCCTGTCATCTTTATATGTGTGGAATTACAGATAGAAATGCAAGTGTAATCTAATTAGAACTAAGCAGGTTCTAAGGTGAGGTAGGCTGTTCAGCGCATTAAATGTGTATGTCACATGGTTAACATTTCCAGGAGATAATACTTAGTTTAAAGAAATGTAGCTCTTCTTCTTTAGAGACGTTTAATCATAGATAATGAATAAATACTTAAATACCAAATCCTATTTCTATGGATGTGCATTTTCCTTTATTGGGTTTGGAAAATGGATTTTGATATAGCAGATAAAGACCAACCAGTTATAGTTCATATCTATACTGACATTAATGGAATATCTATTAGGAATGACTGTGTGCTGCATGTTTATTACCCACTACAGTCTCCTTTTTATACATTTGTTACCAGTGCTTGATTATATTAAATATAGCATACTGCAATACAGCTGGAAAGAAAGATATCTTTGACCTGTTCAATGATCATGTTCTCAGAATGATCATTAATATTGTAATATTGCTATGCTTTATAGTTTTCCTTGTAATAGCCATAGATGTAGAGAAAACTGAAGCTGAATTAGCAAGCTATAAAATTCAGTGCAAAGAAGTATGACACTATAGTTAAGTACTTTGGTCTGGTTGAAGCAAAACAAAATGCGCAAAAACAGGATAAAAAGTAACGCCATTTTTAGGATGTGGGAAAAAAAAACATTTTTATATGGCAATATATTCTTGCCTTGCGTATGTGAAGCAGTTGAAGGCTACAGAATGTCCCCTGAACAAAATTTATACTAAGCTGACCCTGGTTTAGATTGCTACATTTTATTTAAGATAATACTTTTATATAAATTTATATTTTAAGTCAAATTTCTTCGTTAACTTAACTTTTATAGATAAAGAAATCAGGTTTAACCTAGATGTGCTGTAGATTTAATTTGTTTTCATATACTGTAATCATTAAATGACTTGTTTTCTTGAATAATAAACTATGACAGTCCTTGAGTATCAGTTACTTCTTGAGAATAATAATGTAACACCTGACATACCGTACATATAAGAAGATTCTAAAATTGGTTTCATGTAGTCTTTTGATTGGCATTTCCTTAAAGAAATCATTACATACCCTGTCTTTGCATGGCAGAAGCCCATAACTATTCAACCTCCTATTTACTTCCCTGTATGTCCTTGTAACGTTTGCAACATATTGATCCAATTTGCTGAAGAGAATTTGATTTTCCTGGTGCAATTGTACGCATGGAAGCGATTATTTATCTTTTCTAAGTTTTTAATAGAAGTTTGTGTTGCTATCAGCAGGGCTGAATTAATTTAATGGGCAAATTAGAAAAGGCAAGTTCGGTGTTGAGCCTGTGTTCAGCGATTATGGTAAGGGTTATATGGGAATACTCAATCTGAAGAAATCTTTTCACTTACCCATTCTCTGTAACGTTTTTAGTTTTATCTCAAGAAGTTAGTTTAATCAAGAAGAGTGAGAAATGCATGTATTGGTTAATGTTCAGTGTGTACAGAATCTATGTTATATGCCATGAACAAAGAACTTTTGGACTCAGATTTGGGTACAGGGTTGTGAACATATATGGTAGTCTTAAAGATCCATATTTTTCTATTCTGTGTAACAGGTGATTATTTGCCCTTGCTTCTTCAAAGGTTATTTGCTAGTCTGTTAAGGACAATGAATACAAGTAAGTGGAATAGTGTGGCATGTGAGTGTTACACAGGATTGATTGTGTCAGTCTGATGATGATGATAATAATGACGAGGATAGTGACAATAACAGCAACAAAAATAATAACATTGCACATTTTCTCTGACAATTTCAGTTGAGCTTTCTTACGTGTTTTTGGGCTGTAGTTGGCTGAATATTAATAATTGAGGTTTAAAAGAGAAAAATTGATTTTTGCATACAAAACATATTTGAACTACTTCAAAAGAGAATGATTAGCCCAGTTCTAGAGATTGCATTTCTCCTACATTTCTGACTACCAAATTTACTGATAAAGCCCAAGAACTTTCTTATCTGCTACAAAGATAATCTATTTTGGTAGCAGAATTTGTGATAATTGTGTGAATTATATTGGCAATATAGCAAGGCTTCCTGCTATCTCAAGTCCAAGTCTCTATATGTCACACAACGAGGTTCGAGTTCAGATTTCTGCCACTTGTTTTAAAAAGAGCTACTGCCATTACACAGTCAGTTTTCTGGGCATGATTAAACTAATTATATTCACTTGTATTTTCCAGTTTGTGCTTTCTTTTATTTTTCTCCTTTAGGGAGTTGTTTTAACTACTTTCTCTTCTATCCTTGTTAACATTGCCACTTCCAAGAAGGCATTTTTTCCCATAACTTTTCCATACATTTTCCGTAAAGATTTTCTATCCCTAAGAAATTTAAAAGAAGATGGCACACAAACAAACCATACTGAAATTTAAGAATAAATGTATTTTGTGTGTGGCTGTATATTTATGGGTCCTATGCCCTAATCCATCAGATTATTATTAAATGCAGATGTTAGGGTTTTCATCTCCCCAAGATTACCTGTAAAAATGCTTGACACCACTATCGCCTAAACCTGAAAAAATGAAAAGATCATATAAAACGAATGATCTATCTTTCATGTGAATAGCAGTGCATATGAGGTGTCACAATGCATTTCTCTGAATTCCTACATTAATAACAGGATTGCAACCCTGAAACATGTAGACAGGTCTGCAGTTTTCTCACAGTCCAATATTTTATGGAATATCTTTCAAACTTGGTGCCCCTTAAAATTCCCTTTTCCACGTATTATACTGCTATCTTATGCATGTGGCCGTATTAATCCATCCTTAACTGGTAAAAGGCCTCCTTAAGTGCTTGAAAGCTTTTAATATCATTTATAACAAGAGCATTACAAAATCAGCCCATAGAGGTATGTCTTTCTAGGAACTGCTTCTTTCAAATGGGTGGACTGTGTAGGAAAAACCTAATGATCTTTCACTAGAGCTGAGCATCTAAGAAACTAGTAAACTAGTCTGCATTCAGTATAAATGTGCTAAAAAAGCTCTTCACTACTCAGAGGTGTTTCTATTGGGTCTTAGAAATATTTCATTATAAATTTAAATGTTTCATTTAAAGTGCAATAGTTACAATTCAAGTGTATACACGTTGTAGTATTCAGAAATCTGTATTAAATGTACTACATTTAAGAAGTACAGTTAACATTTTAAGTCACTA